TCTATAATCTTTCGTTGTGTGTTAAATTGGTTCTTTTTTAGCATTTTGAAGAGTCTTTTTTGAAAAAAAAATCTTTTATTTGGCTTCAAATCTTTAACATAGAAGTTGAAAGTTGTCTCACCCAATTCAAATCCACTGTCCACACACCGCTCCAACTGATAATTTCCTTGTCCCTGGTTGTCACAGCTTTGGTCTTGCCAAAATGGCCATCGCCTCTGCTGCCGATCGGGAGGCTTTCTTTGGATCAAGTGAGGAAATTGCTGTTTCCTCATGATCTACAAATCATCCCTCCTTTCTTCACAACTCCTCCAGGGTAGTTTTGGCCCCATTGGCAATTCCTGACAAACAGGTATCAGCTGGGTTTCACAGTGATCCATGGAGCTCCACTATCCCATATCTCTCCCGCTGTGACACCAACCCGTGAAACAATCTTATTCTCTTTTAGTAGCCAGCAGATACATTGGTTCCAAAGAGAGCAAATTTAATTTGAGCTAGTTAATAGTACACCCAAAATGTAAATCATAATAAGCATTCATAATCACACTGCATCATTATCAAGAATAGTCATATCATCAGCATATAAGAACAAGGATTGAGTGTCACCACACCCTTAATATCTTGGCTGTTTAATAGAAAAAAAAGAGCACCCTTTACTTAGAGACAACAGATTGAAGTGCCCTAGGTCCATAGTTTTAGGGAATTCTACCAGCAAGTCAGAAATGTTAAACAGTTATGGATAGGGAAACTGTTATGCAGCAAGGAGACTGGCATAGTAGCAACAATCCCAACTGACTCCTACAGCTCAGCTCATTATTAGGGTCCAAATCTAGTTCTTTATGGAATGGTATCCCTGACAACCCTCTTGAAAAGTCATACCAGCTTCCTGCCTTAGCCCAGGAGTCATGCATAGCCAAATCTGGTATTAATCAGGTCACACTTTGGCAGAAGCCCCAGCCTAGCTAGTCTTCCCCAGTCTCAGAAATGTATATCAGGTTGGTTCTCTCATCCATTAACTCTTGAATGAGATAAGATTTATTAAACAGCAACTGGGGCCATTCTAATGACTGCCATGGTATAATCTGGCAAAGAAATCAATTTATTAATAAATTTAGTCACTGGGATATACTAAATTGAAATATAATGAACAAAAGAGAATGGAAGCATGCATCTTAGAACACACTTTACAAATTTAAACTAAATTATATTGAAGGCCATGTCATGTCCAACAAAATTAGAACAGATGGCTCCAATTTGTCAACTGCAATATTCAAAATATCAATCATCAGAAGTATAGTTAGTTTTTTTTATAAAATTGAGATGGATGGATTATAGACAGCATTGCTTCTTGTAACTTCTAGCTAGAATTGTAGTTAATATTATAACAATATCACAATAACCTAATAATTTTGCACTTTTTCTCTTGAATTCCAATATTTTGCAGTAATACATTTCAGAGTGTTTCCAACTTGTTTTGAATGCAGTAACACCAATGTTAATTTTGCTATTATAAATACTTGGTATGATTCATCTTTGGGATTCCTAGCATATAGCAAAAGTAAATTTTAACCATCTCTTCCAAGTGTATAAAATTAGAATCTTGAGTCTCTTTTTTTCTGAGGCAAAAACAATAATAGATCCAATAAAAGCCTTAAACAAACCTTATGTAATTAATTTATTGATGAAGTATTTGATTTATTGATTTATTAATTTCCTTCTTGGAGAACATCAATATTTTCTTTCTTGATATATTAAGCAGTCACTTAAAAAAGAACTATTTAGATATCATCCAGATTTGGCTAATTTATAAACTTTGGGGCAAGATTACAGAATTACAGAAAAATAGAATTGGAAGGGACCTTGTAGGTCATCTAGTCCAATGCTCTGCTCAATAGGAGACCCTATACCATTTCTGACAAGTTGCTATCCAGTCTCTCCTTGAAAGCCTCCGGTTATGACGAACCCACAACTTCTGAAGGCAATGTAAAGATGTGAGTTTGCAGTGAAACTTATTAACTTGACTTATCCAGTGAAGTAGAATAGATAAATACATAATTTAATTTAATGCAATTATAGTATTATGTGAAAAAATATATTGGTTAAGTTTTGGATTTAAAAAACCCCATATCTATTAACTTAAATTTCAATATATATGTTGCAGTACTTTCCAATTCTGAGAAAAAATAAACTTTTAAAAAAATATTTCTATTTAACAGAATTTTGAATTACTTTAATAATGGTTTGCAGAATATTAAGAAAAACATATGAATTATTTCAAGAGTAATTTTAATTGAATAATCAGAGCAAAAATGATGATAATTATATGTATTACTCTTATATACTGATTTATTTGATACAGTATTTATCAATCAGTCACATTTCTGGACCCCCACCCCTCCCTCAGCGAGGAATTCTGAGCAGTGTACAATACAGTATCAAAATAAACAAATAAATGAAAATGTCCTTCAGAATTTTAATACCCACCAACATTTTAAAGTTACTGTTAAATCTAACAACTGGTCCATATGGCATTTTGGGTTTTTTGGCAATATGGGGAACTGTTTTACAATGGGTACGTTCCTCCTTCAGTAGGTAGTTCAAGTGATTAGGAATAAGCATGGAGAAGAAGGTCAACCTACTGGCCATTCTCTTATGAGATTTTAGATTGTATGTAAGTAATTGCAGTACCACATATTCCAACCAGAATTTGATCTGCCAAGGAAGTCCTGAGATAAACTACAGAGGGTGTTTGTGAGTTGAAAAGGACTGAGGTCAGCAAGTATTGTTTTTTTAAATAAGACAAGTATACTAGAGCATATGACCACATCCAAATGATAACTTCCTTTAAGTCAATGAAGCCCTAAACTTTCTGGACAGTCTGTGGGATATATTTGTTCTTCATCAATATATTATAATTTTATTTTATATCACAATTATTATTTGTCCTTTTGATTTGTTATCAATTATTTTATGCTGTAATTTGTGGCTGTGAGTTAACTTTGATTAGAGTTGCTTTATTGTATTTGTGTTATTATTTCTCACTATGGAATGTTTATTTCACTTTATTCTACTGTAAGGTGCCAGGAGTCTAGATTTTCTTGCTTATTAAATTATCTATCTGCATTTATTTCTACTAATCTATTCATTATGGAATGAATGTTGTCTCCTGTGTTGCCAGGGATTTTCAACTCAAATTACAGTAAATCTGCAAGAAGACNAGCCTCAGTAGGCAGTGGTCTGACCACGACAGGGGTATGATCTCATTACCCCTCAGACCAAGATCACAAATCCACTGCTCCAAGAGAAATACGAGGTCGAACATGTGACCCGCTGAATGGGTTGGGCCCCGAATTACCTGGGAGGTGTGACCTTCCTCCCATATTTGGGCATACCAGGGGTTGTGACTTTAAATATATACCTCTCATCCTGGCTGGCTGAAAAGGAGTCGAGCTCTGTAGCTCAATATATATATATGGTTTTTTTTGACTGTTTGTTCATTTTGATCCATAATGTTCATCTTTTCCAAATCTTGCAAAAGAGCAAAATGATTTGATAGATTAATCTCAAAATTGTTGTTTTTTTCTAACAGCTTATCTTCATTTTTGTTTTTTGTGACATCTTTATCATTTTCATATGCTCTTTTCGACAGACTATCTTCACTTTAGCTTGTACCATTAACTATCATCACTTCCAACATTAAAATGATTGATGACACTACACTTGCAGAATATGGTTTTATCACTTGGCATGATATAGTCAATTTCACAAATACCCAGATGGAGTCTTCTGTGTCCATTTTCTGCTTGCCTTTTTCTTGTAAAATGAGTTCATGATATAAAGTTCCTGTCAATAAATAAATAAATTCTATTAGTCTACACCTCTATTATCTCACTCACAATTTCGATATAGGCCAGTTGACTTTTCTTCAATTATTGTTCTTCCTATTGCATTAAAGTCATCCTTTATTATTTTGTACTGGGTTTTTTCTTTTTCTTTAAGGCAGGGCACATTGCCATAAAATTCTTCAACTTAATTGTCATTATAGCTTATTGGATGATTTGAAGCTTGCATTGTTTGTTCAATTGAACAATGTATTGGGCTACTCTGTCTGATATATTTTCAAATTTTACTTCAAAGTGTTTCAGCTTTTTATTGATAAGAAAACCAACTCTGCCTCATCGTCCATCTTCAGTACCTCTAGTATAGAATAAATGCCCAATCCTATCAAGTTCAACTAAATGTTTGCATTATTATCATGTTTCACATAATCCAATGATATCCCAATGTATATTGTTGAGTTCAATCGGAGGTTCTTCTACTCATGCATCTGTTGTCATTGTTCGAATGTTGATGGTTCCTATGTCCAAAGGCCAAAGGCAGCCTGATTTAACCTGGTGATTTTTAGCACCCTCTGCCTTTTGGGCAGGTCTTCCTGCTGCTGTGGTAGTTGCCCTAGGGCATCTGAGGAATGAGGGACATTTTTCAGTTTATATTGGCATGTGGAAGGAATAGATTATAATCTGATACACTAGACTACTGTGAGTTAGCAGATGTGATCAGTGTTAGTCTGAAGTATCCATTATGATCTGTTCACCTTAGGAGACCCTTCTGAATATATACATGTTCGACAACATAGCCCATACATTCATTTAACCATACAATATAATATCTGTTTAGGAAATTAATTTAAGTACATTAGGTTTTCTCCTGATTGCTATTTATTCCAACTTTGGGCGGGGACTACAAACTTCTAAAGTGTCATATGGAAACACTTTTCATTTTGCTGGTTTTCAGCTTATCAAGAAAGACACAAGACAGATAAACAATAAGAATATCCTGTTCTTGCACTAGAAACATTGAAATGGTCTCCTCTAAGAAATGACTTTGAGGAGGAGCCATTGTCCTGACTAGAAGAGTCTTCTCTGAATATACTTTGGAACACATGTTTTTATTCAACTGGTAGTTGACTGCAGATGCTCAGCATGAGAAAGTGAAAGTAAAAGACAATTTCATCTAAATATGTTTGTCTCACAGCTAAGGTGCAGCAGGAGATTGATGAGGTGGTGGGTACAAATCGCACTCCAAGCATGGAAGACCGGTTGAAGATGCCTTTCACCAATGCTGTGGTCCACGAGGTTCAACGTTATGAGATTGGGAGTGCTGAGAGCTTTCCACGGGCAACAACCTGTGATGTAAAATTCCATGGCTACAACATTCCCAAGGTATGCCAATAATACTAATCTACTAATCAAGATAATCTGCAGAACAAAAAAGTTGACTGTTAGTAGCCAGAGATGATATTCAAAACAGTTTAGTAAATATGTATTAATATGGCTTATTTATGGAATTGTAAGCCTAAAGTCACTTTGGATATTGGGAGATATGTAAATTTAATAAATAAATTAGTTAAACCAAATATCTCTCCCTTCACTCCATTTCAGACTGTTTGCAGATTGCTCCCTGCTGCCCTATTTTATTTGAGGCAAGTGGGGCTTTTTCTTTTCTGCATGAAGCAACACCAACTAATGTCATCCGTTTCCTCACCTCCCTCTTCTAGTGCATCACTGTTGCCCCTATCCTTCCTTCGCTACATTATGATCCTCTCCATTGGGAGACTCCAGAGAAGTTCAACCCAGATCATTTTTTGGATGAAAAGGGCCAATTCAGGAAAATAGATGCTTTCATGCCATTCTCAGCAGGTACAGTTCTCTAGAAAGATAGTATTTCAAATCCACATGCTGATCTGATCCATGTTATTCTTTTTATCAGGCACAATTCCAGCAAATGTACTTCCTAAATAACTTTATTTTCTGGTTTTCTATTGCAGGGAAGAGGGCCTGTCCAGGAGAAGCCCTGGCTAGGATGGAGCTCTTCCTGTTCTTCAGCACATTGCTCCAGAGGTTAACCTTTTATCTGGATGGGGACACCAAAGACACAGATGTAATGTCTCTGTTTATGGCCTTCAATAATAAGACTCAATGCCCCCTTATACAAGCTGTTAAACGTTCAGTGAACAATTGTGTTGAATAATTAGGACAATGAAAGAAGCCAAGATCCATCCACCCATCCATCCTTCCTTCCTTCTCTTTCTTTCTTTTTCTTTCTTTCTTTCTCTTTTCTGTTATTATTTCTTTTCTCCTCCCTTCCATTTTTATCTTCTCCCTCCCCGTCTTTCCTGTATTGGCTGACCTATATTAATAAATATTCAAATAAAGCATGTGGGATAGCTTTTACTTTGAAAGGCAATGTTAAAACTGATGTGGTATACATATATAATGATTGTGAAGGACATTTTATTTTTTAAGGCAAATAATTATTTTTATCTCTGCTCTAATAATATTTTATGGGAAAATTAAGAATATTTTGAAATATTTCATACAAGTTTCTCTAAGCTATATTCTGCAAATTCTGCAATATGTAATTCATACTAAAGATTTCAACTTCATTCAAGATTCTCAATTGGAAGTCTCATGAGGATATGATGTTGTGGAATAACCTACATTTGAAACTGGATGCTGAACTGCTGTTGACTTATTAGCTCCTCTTTTCCAGTTTTAGCAAATAGCATCTGGCTGACCACTCATTTTTCATTTTATTCCACAACAGTTTAGTTTTATTTTTTATTAAGCCTTGAGGCTTAACCCTAAGGATTCAAGAGATGAGGGAGATCCGGAGAGAGATGCTGAGCAGGAACACTGGGATGTAATGGGGAAGGGAAGATATGGTAGGATCTTGGAGTTGATCCTCACTTGGTGATGTCACTTTCACTGGTTGAGAGTGATCAAATTGTCTAGTTTCAGGATCTTCCTTTAAGGATCCTGTAATGGGCACTAGGAACAAACTTGATGAACAGGGAAAAAAACTCCTATTGGCAGTTGTAACTATCTGCAAGCTATTGATGGTTTGGAGGTGTGTGGTGCAAACTGGATGTGAGATGATCTTTACTTGGTGAGTCAATCTCACTGTTTGAGAGTGATACAATTGTCTAGTTTCAGGAACCTCTCTTAAGGCCAGGTTATAAGATCCTGGTTGAATTTGGAGTCTAGGGAACCATTTTGATTGTTGCTGATATATTTCCTAAATCTCAGAATTGCACTTGCTTGAGCTGCTGGATCTGTAGCTAGGTTGACAATAGAGATCCTGAGGCTATTGATTCATGAGGACTTCAATTTTGCAGCTGTGGCCATTATAGAAAATATGGACATATTCCAAATCACTAGACACATCATTTACTAGGGATTACACACTAGCTTTTTTCTTATGACAGGTATGATAGATCTAGTTTTGGAGAACACCATTATCAGCCTGCTGTCATAATGAAATCATTCTCTGGATACTTTCTGGTTTGATGGTGTCACTCATTTCTTGGGGATCCAGGACTTGCCATACAAGGTGGCTGGAACTTGTTGGGTATTAGAGGGAGCTTGGGTTTTTCATTTAGTATTTGGTGGGCCACCTGGCTAAATCCTTAGTTGCATAAAACTCCATAAAGTTCCATAAAACTTAGCACACTCTCACATTTGAGAACCAGTAGAAAAGGTAAGTTGATTTCACCCATGAGCCAAGGTATTTCTTCCTCAACCTGGTTCAGAACCAGATCAGAATTTTCTTCTAACAGAAAGGTAATAAAACAACATATAAGCATATAAATTGCTGGAATAACTTTCAGAATCTTTCTCATAGTATAATTATAATCCTGACACCAAATGAGAGGACATCAACTTTCATGAATGAAGGCAAATATACATGTCCCAAGATAATATTGCAGGATCCAATCTGGGTCAGTCACCAAGACCAAAGATTTTATCTTCTGAGCTTTCAGACTCGTACTGGAGCCCATCCGCAGATAACTTCTCTCTAACAGAGTGTGTATTGTTAGAGATACAGTCTTTCATAGACTTACGGTAGCTGCAATAAAATAAACACAAATACCTTTTTTGGGGGAAAATTTTACATATTTATCAACTGGAATATCACAAGATACCACACATAGAATAGCACACCCTCTTCTAGAGAGAAGTGCCCTGAGGATGGGTTCCAGCATGAGTCCAAAAGCTCAAAGACAAAACCTCTGGTCTCAGTAACTGACCTGGATTGGAATCAGCTTTGCTCTGTATAAAGGGAAAATTCCCATGCAAAATGTTAAATTACAGCAGCAAAATGCTTTGTTATTGATTAATAAAACAATGTTGGAACTCATCCTTTGAATTAATTCACCTTTGGTCAAAGCCAAAATGTAGGGAAAGAATTCTCTAGTATTGCTCATATTAGAAAATCAATCAATCAATCAATAAATAAAATAAACTGGGTATACAATTTATAAAAAATATTTCCAGTTGATAAATATATAAAGTTTGGCCAAAAATAGTCAGTGTGTTCATTTTATTGCAGCTAAGTCTATTAAAGACTGTATCTCTAATGAGATTACAATGAATATATATTAAATATTTAAGAATTAGAAAGAACAACTACTGGGGGGGGGGGGAGCCTTTCCTTCCAGTTTTTTTCTTCTTTTTAATAAATTTACAGACATTTCTAAAATTCTGTTTTAACTTTGTCATTATAGGGTATTGAGTGTAGATTAATGAGAGAAAAAATGAATTTCAACTATGGTAGAATCAGGCTGCAGCATAACAAAAGTGACAAAACTCTGAATTCTATGGGATCTGAATACTTTCTGAATGCACTGTAATCCATTAGGAACCTATCTGTCAGATCAAAAGTGATGGTGCATGTGTGGGAGAGAGCAGAACACCAATTAATTGCTGGCATATTTAAGGGGAAAATGGGGAAGCAGAAAAGAAACTGAGTTAAAATATTGAAAAACTGATTTTAAAAAAAGCAGAAAGCAAAAAAAGCGTGGGAATAAGAATTTTGGAAAAAAAGTTACTACATCAGGGCCAATGCTACAGTGTTAATACCACTTTATAATGCCTTGGTAAGGCCACACTTGGAATACTGTATTCAGTTTTGGTTGCCACGATGTAAAAAGACGTGGAGACTCTAGAAAGAGTGCAACGAAGATGATTAGGGGACTGGAGGCTAAAACATATGAAGAACAGTTGCAGGAACTGGGTATGTCTAGACTGACAAAAAGAAGGACTAGGAGTGCCATTATAGCAGTGTTCCAATAGCTCAGGGGCTGCCACAAAGAAGAGGGAGTCAAGCTATTCTCTAAAGCTTCTGAGAGCAGGATAAGAAGCAATGGGTGGAAACTAATCAAGGAGAGAAGCAACTTAGAACTAAGGAGAGATTTCCTGACAGAACAATTAATCAGTGGAACAACTTGCCTCCAGAGATTGTGAATGCTCAAACACTGTAAATTTTTAAGAAGGTATTAGATAACCATTTGTCTGAAGTGTTGTAGGGTTTCCTGCCTAAGCAGCCCATTGGACTAAAAGACATCCAAAGTCCCTTCCAACTCTGTTATTCTATTTCTACAAAAATAGAAGCAATATTATCTGTTTCTCAGTCCCTGATGAAAACCATGTCAATTTGAAAGCATGTCTCTCATTCAGCCAATACTTGCTGCCAGCCAAAAAAGGAAAGTTCCTTATAACAAATGATACTCCTTTAAATGATCTTTCTCCCTTTTAAATAGGAGTAGGGAGGACTTTTCTGAAATTCATATACTTTAATGGCTGCATCTTGAATCATTGGCATAATCTAGTCCTAAATCTGACAATATTCTATGTTGTTTGTTTCAAGTTTGCTTTAGAAACGGCATGAATTGAATGTGACAGGGTGGGGGGGGGGATTGATGGTTAAATGTGTTCCTCCTTTTGTTCAAGAAATAGCTTCTCCATGTTTACAGAAAATGAATCAATGGGTAGTATTGATTTTCCAAGACTTCTGCATCTAGGATTTTAGGATTCCTTCCATGATAATATTGATCTCACTTATCTAACAGTGATCTTTTAAATCTTGCTCAATTCTCTGATATTTATATGCATTGTTAAATTCGGAAGTTGGCCATTGTTCAATTCTCTTTCCTGCTTTCTATTAATTCCTTTCTGTGCTAATGGAATTTACATGCTATGCTTACTGCAGGCACATTTTAGTGGAATTACAGTAGGGACTGAGTTCTCAAAGGAGATTTTTTTTAAAAAAAGAAGTGTTCCACCAAGAGCCTCGATTCTTATTAACACTATATACCATTCTGGATAAATGGCTGTCCACTTTCTTCTCAAAAAACCTCCAATGATGGAGCACCCACAACTTCTGAAGGCAAGTCCCACTGTTTAATTGTTCCCACTGTTAGGAAATTTCTCCTTAGTTCTAGAATGCTACTTTCCTTCTTTAGTTTCCACCCATTGGTTCTTGTCCCACCCTCAGGTGCTTTGGAGAATAGCTTGACTTCCTCTTCTTTGTGGCAGCCCTTGAGATATTGGAATACTGCTATCATGTCACCCCTCATCCTTCTTTTTGTCAGACTAAACACACCCAGTTCCTGCAACTGTTCTTCATATGTTTAAGGCCCAGTCCCCTA